TGGGCCTGGAGGAGGCCTATCTCGGTTCTCATTGTCGGCTGTCTCCCATGGGTGGTGCCCTATGCAGCAGGAGAGCGGGCTTTCCTGACTCCAGAGTTGAGGGTGGGTCATGCTCGGGGAAGAGCAATGCCCCATGGGTTCCCGTTCATTCCCTGGGTGGCCTGCCTACTCTGCCACACTCCTTTGGCAAGCCTTTCTCAGCCTTCTGACTTGACCAAGTCTTTCCTCCTGGAGTCAAAAGCTTCTTTCATGATGTGAGGCCATATGACTTCAGATCATTTCGCTGGGCACTGTCCACTGCGATGTGAAAAGTTGACGTCTGTGCCATTTAGCTGGACACTGTCCAGTGCAGTGTGAAAAGTTGAAGTCTGGGTCATTTAGCTTGGAACTGTCCAGAGCAATGTGAAAAGCTGACATCCAGGCCATTTACTTGGGAACCCTCCATTATGGTGTGAAAAGATGACATGTGGCCACTTAGCTGCACACTCTCCAGTGAAGTGTGAAAAGGTGACATCCAGGATTTAGAGGGGCATTGTCGAGTATAGTGTGAAAAGGTGATGTTTGGGTCATTTAACTGGGAACTTTCCAGTGTGGTTTGAAAATGTGACATCTGGGTCACTTAGTATGCCACAGTCCAGTGCAGTGAAAAAAGGTGACATCTGTGTCATTTAGCTGGACACTGTCCAGTGTGGTGTGAAAAGGTGACATCTGTGTCATTTAACTGGGCACAGTTCAGTGTGATGTGAAAAGATGACATCAGGTCATTTAGAAGGGCACTGTCCACTGTGGGGTGAAAGAGTGAACTCGAGTCATTTAGTGGGGCACTGTCCACTGTGGTGTGAAAAGTTGACATCCGGGTCATTTAGCTGGGAACCCTCACATATGGTGTGAAAAGGTGACATGGGGTCACTTAGCTGGGCACTGTCCAGTGAAGTGTGAAAAGGTGACCTCGGGTCATGGAGCTGGGCAATGTCCTGTGCAGTGTGAAAAGGTGACATCCAGGTCATTTAGCTGGGCACTGTCCAGTGTGGTGTGAAAAGGTGACGTCCAGGTCACTTAGCTGGTACTGTCCAGTGCGGTTTGAAAAGGTGACATTGGTTCATTTACCTGGGCATGGTCTAGTTCCATGTGAAAAGGTGGCATCTCAGTCATTTAGCTGGGCACTGTCCAGAGTGGTGTGACAAGGTGACATCCGGGTCACTTTGATGTGCACTGTCCAGGGCAGTGTGAAAAGGTGATGTAGGTTTCATTTAGCTGGGCACTGTAAAGTACCGTGTGAATAGAAGACGTCTGGGTCTTTAACCTGGCACCGTCCAGTGCAGTGTGAAAAGGTGACATCCATGTCATTTACCTGGGCAGTATCCATTGCCATGTGGAAAGGTGATATCAAGTCGTTTAGCTGTGCATTGTCCAGTGCAGTTTGAAAAAGTGATGTTTGGGTCATTTATCTGGGAACTTTCTAATGCAGTGTGAAAAAGTAACATCTGCGTAATTGAGCTGGGCACTGTCCAGTGCAGTGTGAAAAGGTGACATTCAGGTCTCTTAGCTGAGCACTTTCCAGTGTGATGTGAAAATGTGATGTCTGGGTCATTTAGCTGGGCACTGTCTGGTGCATGTGAAAAGGTGACATCTGGGTAATTTAGGTGGGCACTGTCCAGTGTGGTGTGAAATGGTGACATCAGTATCATTAATTTGGGCACTGTCCAGTGTGGTATGAAAAGGTGACGTCCAGGTCATTCAGCTGGGCACAGTCCAGTGCAGTGTGAAAAGCTGATGTCCTGGTCATTTAGCTGGGCACTGTACAGTGTGGTGTGAAAAGGTCATATCCAGGTCATTTACCTTGGCACTGTCCAGTGCAGTTTTAAAAGGTGACGCCAGGGTCATGGAGCTGGGCACTGTCCTGTACAGTGTGAAAATGTGATGTCCAGGTCATTGAGCTGGGCCCTGTCCAGTGCAGTGTGAAAAGGTGACGTCCAGATCATTTTGCTGGGCACTGTCCAGTTCTCTGGAAAAGGGTCAATGGTTTAGTTCTCCTGGGTCAGCTCCCCAGTTGCTCCCCATCTTGAGTCCCTCCCTCGCAGAGGATCATGTGTTTCCCCCCATCTCTCACCTCCTCTATGGTTCCACCAGCTTGTACCAACCTCCTCCCTTTACTACATCCCAGGCAGCCCCAGGCCCTGCTACCAACCATTTAGGCTGAGGACTAGAGCGAGTAATGAATCAATCTGCTCTGTTTTCACAGGTCCTGATTACCCCTGTGATGGGGGTGCCTAAAGGACCTGGTGGGAGCTCTAATGGAAGAGAAGGGCCTGCATCCTGACACCTCTAGCCTTGGGGAGGGTTACAGGCAAACATCCTTCTTTTCCTTCTCTCCTAGCCTCTTAGCTAGCAGCACACATAGCTCTCAGTGTGATGGTCCCTGTGCTCACCCCATCCATTCCTAGTCCTGCTCAGCTGTGAGCATCAACAGCAGCTCAGTCCCACCTGTCTCTGGAGTCACCTCTGCTCCAGGCAGGGGCTGCACAGTCACTCAGGATCTGGGGTCTGCAGGAGGCTGGCTGCCGGGTGCACGCAACAGGCTGAGCCAGAATTCCCCTTGTTCCCTGGAGATCTGGCCTCCTCCTAATCTGGTCTTACACAGTCTCTACTCTTCACCTTCTGCCTTT